TATATATATATATATATATATATATATATATATATATATAGAAAAATGGAAAGGCAGAAACAGAAACCCAGGCATTGAAAGCTGCAAAATCACTAACCAGAGGTAAATAGCCAGAGCCCATCTGAGAATTCAGTCCAGAAAAATACAAGGAGATGCAATCTGCATATAAAAATCAAATCTTTAACCTTCTTCACATATTAAAATCAACCAATGGTTGTGGTGTGAACGTGGAAAACCGAACAAACAAATATAAAATAACAGAAAAAATATATGCCTTCGGAATAATTTTATTTGGGTAAATGGCAAATAGGCTCATGACAAGGGCACTTACTTAAAAGAGCGACATCCAAATTTTTTGTCTTACAAATAAATCCAGCATATTCAAACTTATTTGCAAATAAGAAAAATCTTTATATATATATCAAAATTACCCCAATTCATTGAAATCCAATGAAACTCCAAATTCATGATTTACACCCCAATTTAGCCCAATTTCATCAATTAACCAATTTTAACCCTAATTTCAATTTTGACCCCAATTTTGACCCGCCACCATCGGAGACTGCCGTTGACCGGCGTTGACTTTTTATTTATTTTATTTTTTGAAAAAAAGATATTTTCCTAAAAAAAAATTCCGGCCGGTCAACTGCCGTGCCGGGTCTCCAGCGTTGACTTTTTTTTTTTTTTTTTATAATTTTGTTTTTTTCTTAAAAAAATATTTTAATTAATATTACTGTTTTGGCTGCTAAGTTACTGTCTTCGGCAGTTATTTAACTGTCGAAGACAGTAATTTAACTGTTAATTGACTTTTTTTTTTCTTCAAAAATATTTTAATTAATATTACTGTATTCATTGCTAAATTACTGTCTCCAGCAGTTATTTAACTGTCGGAGACAGTAATTTAACTGTTAATTGACTTTTTTATTCTTACAAAAAATATTTTTAATTAATATTACTGTATTCGTTGCTAAATTACTGTCTCCAGCAGTTATCTAACTGTCGGAGACAGTAATTTAACTGTTAATTGATTTTTTTATTCTTAAAAAAATTATTTTTAATTAATATTATTGTATTCGTCGCTAAATTACTGTCTCCAGCAGTTATTTAACTGTCTGAGACAGTAATTTATCTGTTAATTGACTTCTTTTTTTTTTCTAAATTTTTTTTCTTACAAAAATTATTTTAATTAATATTACTGCCTTGGATGCTAAATTACTGTCTCCAACAGTAATTTAATTGTCTTATACAATAATACTAATAATATTACTGTTCGGGAAAATAATATTCATAATAATATTGTCCCACACAGTAATATTACTGTCTGAGACAGTAATTTAGTAGCAAAGACAGTAATATTAATTAAAATATTTTTTTCTAAGAAAAAAAAAATTAAACAAAAAAAAAAAGTCAACGCCGGAGACCGGCGGTCAACGGTGGTTGACCGGCCGGAAAAAAATTTCAGGAAAAAAAAAGTTTTCAAAAAAAAAGAAAAAACTCAACGCCGGAGACCGGCGACCGGCGGTTAGCGCCGAAATCTGGCCGGAAAAAAATATTTCAGAAAAAAAATTATTTTCTGAATAATAAAATTGGGGGTTAATGTGATATATTTGTTTAAATTCGAGGTCAATGTGTAATATTAAGGAAGTTAGAGCATAATGGATGGAATTGATAAGAATTATATTATGGATGGTATTTTAGGAAGTTAGAATTTTATTTACACGATGGGCGTTATCTTTTGTTTCTTTCCTTTACATTTGGTCGGGAATTCTTTTTTTATTTATTTTTTTTTTTGGGTAAAG